ATTTTTTTTTTTTTTTTTTTTTTATAGATATCTGATATTACAACATTAAATTTGACTATGTTTATTTCCTATACACTCTTAAAAATAAAGGTTCCAAAAAGGGGTTTTCACAGCGATGCCATAAAAGAACCAGTTTTGGTTCCCCAAAGAACCTTTCAATGAACGGTTCTTAAAAGAACCATTTTTTCCTAGTGTGCAAGGACATTTTAATGATCTAAAGAACCTTTTTCCACTGTAAATAACCTTTTGTGGAATGAAAAGGTTCCATGGATGGTAAAGGTTCTTTGTGGAACCATTTATTTGTGGTATAAATGGTTCTTTGTGGTAGCTTTGTGGAACCTACAGCTAAATGTTACAAAAACAAAAGAATTGGTAATTGACTTCAGGAGGAAAAAGACACAATTTACCCCTGTCTGTATAACTGGCTGTAATGTGGAGGTTGTGGACTCCTACAAATACCTGGGGGTCTACATTGACAATAAGCTTAACTGGACTAAAAACATGGAGGCAATATACAGGAAGGGACAAAGTCAACTGTATTTTCTGCGGAGACTTAAGTCCTTCAATGTATGTAGTAAAATGCTTAATATGTTTTATCAGTCTGTGGTTGCCAGCTCTCTGTTTTACGCTGTGGTGTGTTGGGGCACTGGTATGAAAGGGGGTGATGCTAAACGGCTGAATAAACTCATCAAAAAAGCGAGTTCTGTCATTGGACTGGATCTGGTCCCTCTGGAGGTGGTTGCTGAGAAGAGAATGATGCACAAATTGCTAGTCATTATGGATAACACCACTCACCCTCTAAATGACATGCTTGTTGCATTAAGGAGTAATTTTAGTTGGAGACTGATCTTGCCTCAGTGCAATAGTGAACGGTATAGAAGGTCTTTTGTACCTACTGCAGTTAGACTGTATAACACATCTCTCGGATACAGAGGCACCTTTGAACTTCTAGTGAGCTAGATAGTTACATTTATTTTATATCTTTAACTGTATACCTTATTTTATCCTAAAATCTGAAGGGAAATTACCTGTTTTACCTGTATTTATTATTTATTTTTATCTATTGTATTTATTTTGTGTTGTATGGTTTATGTTTTGGCTGCTCATGCAAACCAATTTCCCTGCGGGGATTAATAAAGTTTATCCTATCCTATCCTATCCATTTATGCCAATAAAGAACCTTTATTTTTAAGACTGTATATTTGTGAATTACTTTAAATCTGAAGACATATTCCTCCAAACTAACAGACATTTACAAAAAATGCCAGCTAAAAAAAGGTACAAAAGCTGTCCCTGGGACGTCTCCTTTCAAAAGGTACACATATCTACCATATAAATACTAATATGCACATACAGTACAAAAGTATTAAGGTATATTAGAAAACGTTGGACTATTTGGTAAATTACTATTTTGGTATTCTTCTAAAACATTAATTAATCATTGCTAATTTAAATTTCAACATGTACGAATACATTTTTAAAATCAAAATGTATCTGTTAGGTTGTTGTAAAGTGTTATGAATATTCTTTATTCCATAAAAGTAAAATAAATTTTATGTAATGAAAATTTAATAAAAAAATTCCTTTATTGATATATTATTAATATCTAATGTTTCTGGAAATACCCTATATTTTTTGTAACCCACATTTTAAGTAATTTACACTGAAAAATGAAATGTGCTTTATTGACAACCATTCTTATGTAATTTTTTTTATTTGATTTCATTTTAATTCCTCTTAAAAATTACAATTCTACAATTGTTTGCTGCCTTATTTATTCAATTAAATTCTGAATGGTGCACAATCCTTGTCCACTGCTGAAAAATAAAATGTCCCACAGCAATTGTGAATGTTCATATTGACAAAATGATGAATTTTTTTTTTTTTCATTTCAAAGTAATTTCTAAAATTGTATTTAATTCATGTCAGTTGGATTTTTGAGCCATTGTGTGGTATTCCACAGAGACTGGACATCTGAGCTGCTCTTTTGACCACGGTCTCTGTGCATGGATCCAGCGCAGAGAGGGAGACCTTCACTGGGAGACAACAGCAGATCCTTCAGGTACAGACCATTTTTCACCATGTTATTTATTTATTTTTTTATAAAATGTTTTTGGGTCAATGACAAATGAAGAAGTCTCAGATGATAAAAAGAAAAATTAATTAAAACTTGATGCAGGTGCCATGCAATCTTTATATTCATGTTTCACACTTTATTTGATGAATCTAAAAAGGTCAAGTTCGGTAAATATTTGGTATAAAGTATTAAAATTTCAAATACACTTTTTAATCATTAAAGAAAGATTTTTTTAAACATCTTCAAGGTTACATTTTTACATTTTTTTTCAAATATTATGCATTTTTGAATCATGCATTTTGTGGAGATATTGTTTTCATATATAAACCTGTATTAACCTTACCATGCCATTAAAAGGTGGGCGTTACCTGACGATCTCAGAGGGCGGAGAGAAGCGAGGTGGGCGTGGCGCTCAGCTGATCCTCCCCCTGATCACACCCTGGAACGAGGGGAACCTCTGCCTGGCCTTCAGACACAACATGGCGGGGCACCACGTGGGCATGCTGCAGGTGTTCGTCCAGAAGGGACGGCAGCACAGTCCCGCCGTCTGGGGTCGAACGGGAGGAAATGGCTGGAGGTCGACGCAGATCACCATTTGGGGCAATGGGCTAGAAAGCGTAAGTGTCAGCACTCACATCACCATTTGAGAGCAGGTCAGCTGGAAACCAGCATCGCTGTTTTGTGATTTATGTCATTACAGGTGGTTGTGAAGGGCGAGCGGCGGAGAGGCCGTAAAGGCGAAATAGCTCTGGACGACATGAGTCTCAAACGGGGTTCCTGTCAGGAAGAGCACAATCTGAGGAGACTTTAACACCACCAACAGAGACTTTTAATGCCAGCTTTACTCACGGGACTCTAGGAAGACGGACACTTTACAGAAAGGGACGTGGCTTCCTGTCAGTCCCGGTACCGTTATGGTGCACTTCCTCTGGCCTTCCTCAGTGGCTACAAGTGCATGTTCCAGCTCAATACAGTGCTGCAGGTATGACATATTTTTGTAGGCCAAATCCTGGAGATGAGTTCGCATTTTAGTACTTCAGTTTCCATCGTCCTTAAGTCAATGGTTTTTTATTTAATGCATGGTTAAAAGCAAGCTCAAGATATTTTCGCATTTTATTCTAAGGCATAAAATGCATCAGTAAAACCCTCTTGTGATTTTTATTTAAAGCTTTTACTTGTCTTGAAAAAGGCAGTCGCTAAGTGGCAAAATAGGTCTATAGAGGTTGTCAGGGACATTAAACGTCATCGCGCTGAACAGGTAAACTCATCTACTCGCTTGTCGCTTTCACAGCCTCGTGTTTTTAATGGCGCTCTTAAACTATTCTAACTCAAACTTTCAGGGAAAATGTTTAAAAAAAAGACTAAAGTTTTATTGGAAGTGTAACGATGGTAACGCTGAAATCATGCGATCGTTGTGTAGTTTGTTTACCTTTTTACTTCTGGTGAGTTGTGTTCATTTGTGAAGATTTTCACGATGAATGAAACATGTAAGAATCACAGACTTTTGCTGGTCACAGACCTTATTTTCTACAGTAATCCAAAAACCAATTGTTTTTTTTCTCAAGTGAACCAAGGTGATGCTAACTTCCAGGTTTGCCTACAAAAATACATTACTGCAGTGCTCTGTTGGATGAGATGTCTAACATGTCAGAAGTCTGAAAATATACTTTTGTATATTTTAATTTTGTAGATGTAAAATGTGTCTCCCACTTCTAATATTTGTGTCGAACTGTCAAACAGACATTGTCATGCCATTGTAAATGCAAGCTGCCCAGTTGAACTGTTTATTTGCCACCTGAATGATGATGTCTTCAAAATCCCTTTTGTTAACCAGCTAATCTGAGTGACGAACTATTTTTGGTGTATTATTGTAAATGTATTCATACATGTGTGTATATATATATATATATATATATATATATATATATATATAAAAATATATTTCAAATATGCTTTGTAGGTGCATATATATGTGAATTCTTCATCGTGTAAGTGATGCAGGACAATGTTTACATCACACAACCCAGTTTTGAGTATTTTATTGACGTATATTAAGTACAAACCAGTAAACTGTTCTGAATTTTACTTATTAATGGCTGTATCAGCCATTCTGTATGATCATCATCACAACCATGGTTACCCTTTAAGACTGTGTTGAATATGAAAGCTCTTGGTTTAATATTCAGATGACGCAACGATCTCCAGACATTAAAAGGTGTGAACGTAAAATATATGTCTTGTATTTTCTTAATCGTTCAGTAGCGTGACAATAGTTCAGAGCAGCTTAACGAGTGAGAAACGGATTGTTTTTGTCATGTTGTTTTGCACACACAGCTTTACAATTGAACAAGCGGAGGCAATAATTAAGCAACTCTCCAAAACTATCCTGTCTCTTATTTGAATAACTGAGAAGCCAAATTCAATTAGTTAATCAGTTCGGCTGCAGCAATTAAATGATTTGTTTATTCATTTGACTCAGTGTGACGACAGCTGCACAGCACTATATATTGTCTTTTTTTGTAGCAATAATATACATTTATAATATGATTACATTTCGAACATTATTATATATTAGTAAAATTATTAATAATTTAAAAAAATAGTTTAGTTGAATGCCGTTCATCAGTGTGTTTTTTGAGTCAGTTCTATTAATTATGCAAATTGATCTTTTCAGATGCTTTTCAGACACTGCTTTTGTGCTAGAATGAAGTCTGAAAAACATCAGGCCTCATTCATGAAACGTGCAGAACTATTGTGTAAATCGTTCAAAAATGCTTTCTTGTGTAAAATCATTGCGTTCAACTCTAATGATTTGCACAGAAATGTGCTCTTGCTTGCATTTTCCTCGCATGAACAAGGTCCATTTATTGCTTCGCTTTACTGTCTTATGGCCTTGATCTGAATCTGTGAAACTCCCTATACAAGAAATTCAAGTCCCATTGTAAGCAATTTTTTAAAAAATATGTTGTTTAGAAGTGGCAGTTTTGAGTTGTTCTGAGAGCGTTCAGCTATAACCTTGGTACAATCAACTGTAATTTTCATAAAGAAATGCATTTTTCAAGAGTACAAAGTATTCAAGGATAATCATGCCTCGTCTGACCTTTGCTTGAATCCAAATGACTCTTGCTTATGTATATATTTGAAATAAGAATCTTCTGATGTAAATCCATTTTAGTGACAAGTGTTTTATATAATATAAATGAAAATTAAAGTAATTTAAATGTGTTTATTATACTTAATTTTTAATAAAAAATTATATAATATATAACAAAATAAATAATTATAAACATTATAAATAAAAACGTTACTAATAAACATTTTATGTGTGTGTGTGTGTGTGTGTGTGTGTGTGTGTGTATATATATATATATATATACACA